CAAGGGGATAAACATTATATTTAGCGATAGACCAGTTTATATCCAGCATATATTAATCAAAATCTAAAATACACAGTTTTAAAAGTATAAGCACAAAACTTCAACATTATATTTGTTAATATGAGACTAGAGTAACAAAATCACATCCAGACCTGAAATCCTCTCATCAAAAACCAGCAAATCCAGTAACTTTTGCATGATATAGACCAGAAGAACACCTGAATGGGACAGTTTACATGAAAATCCACCTAGAAAAGAGAATCCATTGCAAAAATGATGATTTATACACTTCACAGTGCAAAAACACACATTTGTGCAGGTGCTTTAACACAAACAGGCCCATAGACTTAGAAAGTGCATTAATGTAAAGCATTTTTTCCAACCTGAGAGACGAGGTAAGATATTTTGCGTGGTGATTGAAAGCATGTCACCAATGCAGTGCACAGAGTTTAACTTGTTTTGAATGTGGAACATTCCTTGAAGCCCATTTTGTGTTTTCGAGCACCTTAAAGCAGCATTCAAATCTGTCAACAAATATGATTTCATATTTGCCTGGACGATTGCACACTGACAGCTGACACAGCTGGCTGAATGTAAACAGTCCGTCATCATGATGCTGTTTACATCCACATCATCCATCTGAATCACACTGAATGCATCTGAACGCACTAAGTGTTGCATAATACAATACTGATTTTGTACTTCTGCATCTTTTCCCTTGTTGTACGCCTGTAAAACACACACTACAAAAATATCTGCCTATGGGAATTATCTGAATAATAAACAGTAAGAAAGTGTGTAAAGATGTAGCTGTAATGATGGAGACAATAATTACTTTTGATTACAGATGGAGATGTAATCAATACAGCTATAAAATGAGTTTTGTGATCATTATCACACTGACGGGTGACATGAGGAGTGAATTTATACTGATGCTGCAGAGTACAGGGATGAATCTATCAATCTTAAATTAAAGTTCGAGTAGATGCATTTTTTAAATTGATTTTATTTTATTTAATTTACTTCCTTAATTTGAAATTGCAATTCTATATGATAGATAAATGGATGGATGGGCGGACAGATAGATGGATAGAGAGTCAGTCAGGCAGTAGGATAGATAGACAAACAGATGGATAGACAGATAGATAGAAAGATGGATAGACAGACCGACAGACGGACAGACAGATGGATAGATAGACAGGCAGATGGACAGACAGATGGATAGACAGACAGATAGAGGGACAGATGGATAGATAGACAGACAGACAGACAGATGGACAGACAGATGGATAGACAGACAGACAGACAGACGGACGGACGGACGGACGGACAGACAGACAGACAGATAGAGGGACAGATGGACAGATACATGGACAGACAGACAGACGGATAGACATTCAGATGAATAGACAGACAGACACACAGACGGAGAGATGGATAGACAGACAGACAGACAGACAGACAGATGGAACAGACAGACAGACAGACAGACAGACAGACAGACAGATGGATAGACAGACGGACAGATGGATAGACAGACAGACAGACGGATAGACAGACAGACAGACAGACAGACAGATGGATAGACAGACAGTCAGACAGACAGACAGACAGATGGATAGACAGACGGACAGATGGATAGACAGACAGTCAGACAGACAGCCAGATGGATAGACAGACGGACAGATGGATAGACAGACAGACGGATGGACAGACATACAGACAAACAGACAGAC